ATGGGAAGTAGTCATCCATAAAATAACCGTCAAAGCTAAGGATAAGAAGCCTAGAAATCGTAAGGATTACACCACCGCTCATACGAGCTAGAATAGGAAGTCTGAGAGTAACATTAGACCGATCTTCAAATTGTACCGCCAAGTGCTAGGCAGATGGGAACGGATCCAGGATTTCGAGTCATGGAGGATGATTTTTTTTTTGTAAGGAGTGAAAACGTTTTCACTAGTGTAGCAGAGTGATTTTTATTGCGCTGCTATAACAAGGCAATTTTTTTCTTGTGTAGGGCTCTGTGGATATTTTTTATTCAAAAAAAGTTCCTTAATACATACACGACGACATTTAAATCTACTACCTTATAAGTTTAGTTAACGGAAGAATAAATTTAATTTTATAATTGAATTGCCCTAGAAAAAATATTAATACATTAAACCGTAAGAAATGACAAATCAAAGGAAATTTATTTAAAAATAAAAAAAGGATAAAATATTTTATCAAATTATTTGAAGACAAGAGTTTAAAAGATACACACCCACCAATACTTTTTAAAAAACTTTCTTCCTTGCCTAACCACATGAATCTTATTGGAATAACGAATTGATTTTTGAATAGAATTTTTTGTGTATGAGGGAGGATGTTCATGAGTCACGAAGAGTGTTCTTAATATTATAATAGTATGTATGATATTTTTATTTTTAGAATAATGTTATATTGCTAGTTCATATATATGGTGCATATTATATTTGTATTAATGCTAAATAAGTTAAAGTTCATGATCTATTGTTTTTGCAAAGTAAAAAGTAAATGAATTGTTTAATTTAATATCAACAAACATTTATATTTTTGATTCACTTCAGAAGATCTAAAAACTATTTAACTAGTGCTTCTGATATTTAATATCATTTGATATTTTACAATCCGAGTACTAATTATCTAAAAATATGATTAATCATTACAAAACTAGGAATATTTGTATACTTAGTGATAAGTATCCTAAAGTCTCAAACAACGAGTTGTTAGATCTATTGTTTGTTTGTTTAAGTTATGTAATTAAATTATTTTAGATGTTTCCTCTTTTATATCTCTGATTAAATATTACATTATGTAAGACTATATATAAATTTTGAAAACTAAAATTTAAGACGGTCAAATTGAAGGCATAAATATCAAATCAAAGTATGAAAATTTTATAAAAATGTTACAGTACATATGTAGTAGTAGAAAAAATTGAAAATCCCAGGGCGATCCCCCGCGCCCCTTAAATTCATCCCTGAGAGAAGACAGCCAACCTAGCTAGTGTTTTGAAACTCCTCCCGTAGAAGTGTCGCGTTGCTATCTTTCCAGTTTCCAAATCAATTAATTATATGATAAATTGATAAGGTTAATTACCAAAAGTTAATGAGGACTGCGTGTTGAGTGAATAGTTTTTATATGATAATAAGGTTAATTATCAAAAGTTAATGATGAGTCCGTGTTTGAGTTAAAGGTTGTCATATGATAAGGTTAATTAGCAAAAGTTAATGAGGAGTGCGTGTTTGAGTTAAATGTGTTGTTATATGATAGGTTAAATATCGAAAGTTAATGAGTAGTGCGTGTTTGAGTTAAAGGTTGTCATATGATAAGGTTAATTAGCAAAAGTTAATGAGGAGTGCGTGTTTGAGTTAAATGTGTTGTTATATGATAGGTTAAATATCGAAAGTTAATGAGTAGCGCGTGTTTGAGTTGGTTGTTACGTAGTACGTAGTATATGATAAGGTCCCTAAGGTTAATTACCAAAAAGGAGGCCTAATCAAAGCTTAGAAAAGTGGGAAGCGTTTCCATGTGTTTTTATGTTTTTTTTTAACAATGTTTTTTGTTTGTTTAAAAAAGTTAAATGTAGTTTTATTAAATACTTCTTAAGTACTTTTATCTAAATTAAGTATATAACTAAAAGCAAAGTTTTTTTTCATTAAATGTAAGTAGTGATGAGCACTTTAAACTACTTTTCACTTTCTTTATCAAATCAAAAATGTATTTATCAGCATTTTAAATTTTTACTTTTTAAAATCATTTTTGTTTTAAAAACACCGCCGCCGGCTTGGCGTCTGCTTCTATTATGGAGTATTAAACATTTTTCATAAAAAAATCTGAAATGATTAAGTTCTCAAGAGTAGAAACAAATGTGAAACTCATTATTTGAGTTTCACAAATTAGCATGAGAAGTTCATCCATAGAAAAAGAGTGCAACTAATTAGTAAAAATGTATTACTTTCATCACATTATCCATGCTCTATATTTAATTATTCATCTGCTCTATTAATTTTGTCGCATTGGTTATAATATATAGAGTTTTTAAAAAATATTGTTGAAATAATTAAAACTATTTACAAAAATATGACTAAGGGTTAAATATGATGATATCATAGTCTTTTAAGTGCAAAAATTGAACATTAATTACTATAACTAAGTTACTACTATAGTCACTAAATTTAAATTGTCACATTTTAGTAAACAACCTTTAATTTAGACATGAACATGTAAGGGCCTGTTTACTAACAGAGATATTTCCCAGTTTTTCAGAAAACTGGAAAACTGGAAAACAGAAAACAGGAAACGTGTTTACTGATACGTTTACTAAATCGTTTTCCAAAACGAAAAAAATGAAACATGTCTCTCTTTTCCTTAATGATTTAGAGAAGTGACTTTTACTAGTTTTCCAAATTTGGAAAACACAAATACTACTTGTGTACCCCTTTTTCCATACAATGACCCTACCCCACCCCTACCACATTCCCCTACCTCGGTCTCACCTCGATCCATCCTTACCCTACCGCCACCACCTACCACCTCGACCCCACACCCGACCCACCCTACCCTAACCCCCACCCCTTGTATCTTACCACTACCTTACCCCTTACCACATGCCCCCTACCCCGGCCCCACCCTACCGCCATCCTACCCCCACCCTACCCTACCCCCACCTCGGCCACACCCTGATATCGGTCCCACCCTACCACCGTCCTACCCCAACTATACCCTAACCCTACCCCAACCCTACCCTTACCCCTAACCATGACCCTAACCCACCCACCCCACCCAACTCCCCAACCCAGTCCCCATACCCTACCCTTACCTTACCCTAAACCCAACCCCAACCCTACCCTAAACCCAACCCCAACCCTACCCCCCGCCTTTACCCCTAACCACAACCCTAACCCGCCCTTACCCCCACCCAACCCCCTACCCCCAGACCTTACCGCCCCACCCCCGACCATACCTCTTACCCCACCCCACCCATACCTTCCCTACCCCTACCCCTACGTGTAGGTATGGGTGGGTATGATGAAGGGTTGTAGGGGAGTATGGGTAGAGTGTAAGATTGTGGTAAGGGTAGGGGTAGGGGTCAAGGGTGTGGAATTGGGTGTAGGGTGTAGGGTGGGGGTACGAGGTTTAAGGGTGGGGTATGAGTTAGAGGTATGAGTCACAGAAGTTTGTGAAAAAATTGATGAACATGTTTTCATATTTGAAAATGGAAAACTAAAAAATAGAAACAGAAAATTGGAGATAGATAAACTAAAAAATAAAAACAGAAAATTGGAGAACGAAAAACAGAAGTAAAAAACATGAAATTATTTCTGTTAGTAAACAGGCTCTAATTGTTTCCATAATATATCTACAAAGTATTTTCATTTCTTTTAATAATCTAATCACTTTTAATGTCTGAACTATAATGGATGGAACTCGTATAACTAGGGAGTAATTGAAAAGTTGTGGTAGTTTTATTTTCAACAATTGTGGTGAGTTGTTTGGGAATGGCCAAGGGCGGAGGTAGGGGTTTTAGGTCTGTCCACCTCAAATTTGAAAAATTATTTAATTACTAGTCTACAAATTATGTAAAAACTCTGTATATGTCTAGTATATTCTAGTACCTTGAATATGTCTCTAGGAATGTCTAGAAGAGTTTGTGGTTTCAAATTTCAACGGACGCATGATTAAAAACCTTAATTGAGATTAGGTAATGGTAAGGCTAATTGCAATCCATGGGTAAAAGTTATTTTTAAGCTTTCACCCCGATATTTGTGCAACCCACAAAAAGGAGTATAGCTCATGAGTGGGGTATTTGTCACCCTAATTCACGTACACGGAATGCAAGGAAAAAGGAGATGTATGATGCACACAAGAGAAAGGATGTGATACCCATGAAAAAATTATACAAAATATCAAAGTTCATAATGATCTTTTGTATGATATCAATAAGAGTATTACATATATAAAATTTTACAAACATCAATCTCATTGATTCTGAAAGAAATTCTCACTTTGACTCTACGAATTCTAAGAAAGGTCAATTTATGCTTTGACATTCCCTTTTTTTCAAAAGGTCAATTAGGTGTAGTAGGAATAAAAAGTGAGTATAAGTAAGGTAAAGTAAAAGTATAAGAGTAACTCTATAAAAGAATAATATCAAAAACGAAGATTAGAACTTTAATTTGGACTTGTCGAAAAAAGAAAGAGAACATTTTCCAGAATTAGATGAAGTATCAAATTTTAGTGTTGGGGGTTTTAGAACCATTTTTTCTTAAGTAGATCTAACTTTCAAGTGGTAAAATTAATATCTCGTGGCTTAAATGATTTTTACAACTATTATTCCGTATTTATTTATTTTTCAAAAATATGCCTGAAGTAAAAACAACAAATATAAACTCTAAATTTTGATGCTAGAATCTTTTGAAATAATAATTATTCACAAAAACGTTGGCAAAAAATTGATGTATAACAATATAAGTAAGACTTTAAATAAAAAAAGATTGTTGGACGAAAAGAGGATGGTGGATTGCAGTGAATGAAGTAAGTGAATTAACAAATTTTGATTTATTGAGAAACTTGTGTTTCAAACTTACCCGCACTATCCTAAACTGATCTTAGGATTTGTCGGGCCCACTGAAGTAAAGGAAATAGAAAAATTGGTGGCATGAGACCTTGCTCTGGTCCTTTATATAGATCCTCTCACTCCATTTGTTAGTCACTGAATTCAGACTATCTGAGAAGATCATCTTCATTTCCCTCAGCACTCTCTAGTCTCCATATAGGAAAAGAATGATGGACAACTATACTGTCCTTTTCTGTAGTATTATTATGCTCTCCCTCTCTCTGTTTATATGCTTACTCTCCCTACTAAGAAAAAATGCAGACTCAAAGAAGAAAGCTAAGCTCCCTCCAGGTTCAATGGGGTGGCCTTACATTGGACAAACCCTGCAACTTTACTCTCAAGACCCAAACTTTTTCTTCTCTGATAGAGAAAAAAGGTTCTCCCACAAATATTTCGTTCGTCCTACTGAACTTTGCCAACTTTCCTTTTTTGTCTGTTCTAAAAAACTTTGTCAATTTCATTTTAAAGCAATGTATTTGTGGTTATGTTCGTTTCTCTTTTCTCTGCACAAATCTCAACCACACAGTCTTATTATTCTAATTTCTCACTTAATGGGACGGAGGTAATATAGCATTTCATTGTTCTCACTTCTAAGATGAGAAATATACACCACTATAGATTGTACTCCGTATAAATCATGGTCACTTAGTTGATCACAAATATTAGATTTCCTTTTTGGGGGTACAAGCTCATTATTCTAATTTTTCATCCCGAGAAGCAACTAAATATACTAGAAGTTGCTCAAAAAAAATACCCGAGTATACTAGAAGTTGTTTGTACACGTCGGCTTGTACACGCTTGTGTATAGATTAAAAAAAATTGTCGGTGTGACATACAACTTTCTTAACAAAATGAAAAAAATTGTATATAGATAAAAAAAAACTGGGTGTGTACACTCACGTGTACACGAAGCATAGGTTGAATATACTATTACATGTTCTTATGTTCCCAATTATTCACATTGTTTTTCCCCAGGCATGGGAAGATCTTCAAGACTCATATACTGGGGTACCCTTGTGTCATGCTGGCTAGCCCGGAGGCTGCCCGGTTCGTGCTAGTGACCGCAGCGAACTTGTTCAAGCCAACATATCCAAAGAGCAAGGAGAATTTGATAGGGCCTTGGGCATTGTTTTTCCACCAGGGGAACTACCACACTCGTATCAGGAAGGTGGTTCAAAGTGCCCTTAAACCAGAGTCCATTCGCAGCTTTGTAGCTGATATTGAGGCAACAACAATGTCTGCATTGGACTCGTGGGCGGGCGGGCATGTTGTCAACACGTTCAAGGAGATGAAGAAGGTACTCATCACATTCTATGCTACCTACATCTTTGTGTTAGTTTTGTGGTAATTAGGCTATGTACTCTTGTTAGAAAAAGTAATATTCCTAATTTTTCATATATTTACTTACATTAAAAAAACATATTATACTTATGTTCACTTTATCCAAACGGACTAAAGTTGTAGTTAGTTGATAACCATCAAAAGGATAAAAGGTGTTCCAAAACATATAAAGTTTTATCTTATTACAAACTTGAAAAAGACATTCCATGGGTGTAAGACCTTGTGCTATTCAAATTATGTGCATTAAACCTCGTGATTTCAAATATATGTCAAATTATTCATGTGCTGTAATTAGTCATGTGAATACCTCTTGAAACAACCATTTTACCGCTTCAGAAATCATGTGTCTTATTATTAAACATGCATGCATATTTGTCTGGAAGATCTCTAAATTATACAAAAATATTGAACATTTATTTACTTATTTGATAAATAAGTTTGTTCTTTACGAATGGTATGTACAAAATTTACGAATTATGAGCGGGTTTGATGAGCTTTTTAATCCAGATATGTACAACTAATTTTTTATTATGAGCACTAGAATATGTGTTAGTTATCATGAGAAAATTAAATTTATATACCATTTGTGCACGCAGTTTTCTTTCGAGATAGGCGTTCTTGTTATATTTGGACATCTTGAGGATCACCACAAAGAAGAACTCAAGAAAAACTACAGCATAGTTAATGAAGGGTACAACTCTTTCCCAACAAATTTACCAACAAGTCTTTATGGCAAAGCACTCAAGGTAAATTTTAAATTATTTACTATTATTAAATAACCAGCTAGGCTGCAGCCACTAAGCCACTGAAAGTCTGAAACTTGATATATCATGATCCAAATTTGCAGGCAAGGAAGAGACTTAGCAAAATATTAAGTGAAATCATTAATGAGAGGAAGGAGGAGGTAGAGGAGAAGGGGCTTTTGAGTTGTTTCATGAATTATAAAGATGATAAGGGGGGAATCATTCTCAATGATGATCAAATCGCTGACAACATCATAGGAGTTCTCTTTGCTGCACAGGACACAACAGCTAGTGTCTTGACATGGATACTCAAGTACTTACATGATAACCCCAAACTTCTCGAGTTCATTAAGGTAAGGAGCTAGTGTCTTGAACAAGCAAGAAAACACAGACTAGACCAAAACAGACTAGATAGTCATAAGTTATACAAAATACCACATGGGGCTTAAACAAAACAATATAGAACAGAACAGACCAGAATAAACTGCACTAATTCGGACCAGACTAGATGTGGAGTTTTTTCCAAGTGAAAACATCCTTGTAAGTTGTACGGTCTTAAATTAGACCTGTCTAATAATTCAATCCTTTAGTATGATTTTGTCCATCTTAGACATTGTTCGGATGTTCTATGCAGGCTGAACATAAAGCAATCCAAATGTCTAAAACTGAAGTGAATTGCCAACTCACATGGACGGACACAAGAAACATGCCCTTGACTAACAAGGTAAAACTATGCTTCAGTAGTTCAGTACATGACTGGACTGGATTAGCCTACTTGCGTCAAGATATTAATTGTATTTCCGGTCTTGCGATTATGGGATCATTCCTAGTCTTAGCATTCAAGTGTCATTTTTGCTACTCATGGGATCAAAAGTGGAATAAATTTCACGTTTGACAGGAACATCAATTACTTAAGAGTGTCTAAAACAACGAGTGTATTTTGCAGGAACATCAATTACTTAAGAGTGTCTAAAACAACGAGTGTATTTTGCAGGTTATCTCGGAGACCTTAAGGATGTCAAGCATTATATCTTTCACATTCAGAGAAGCAATTGATGATGTAGAGTACAACGGTAAGCTTGTACTTAAAAATTAGTTATACAATCAATGACCCATGACTTTTTTTGTGAGACTAAGGTTAAAAAAAATGTGGTTTTAGGGTACCTAATTCCAAAAGGGTGGAAAGTGTTGCCCTTGTTCAGGAACATTCATCATAACCTGGAGTACTTTACTGATCCACAAAGCTTTGACCCTTCAAGATTTGAGGTATAATATCTTCTGTTTACATATGTTTTTCATACTTGCAATTATAATGCTTGGGTTTTACCTCTGCAAAAATTGATCTTTTGTTTTAGGTTCCTATTTTTTGTTTATCCTTATAATTTACGTTGTTTTGTTTTTAACCACTCTCTGTCAACCTCCATATCATAAGTGCCACGGTATTCATTCGATTAAGATAGACAAAAAATAGCTGTAAATTAAATAATCAATTCCACTTTTGGTTCTTGGTTGATGAGATTAAAATTGTTGTTTTGTATGTGCACACAGAATTGCAGGAAACCCAATACATTTATGCCATTTGGCAGCGGGATACACGCCTGCCCGGGAAACGAGCTTGCCAAGCTGGAGATGTTAGTGATGACACATCACCTAGTAACCAACTTCAGGTACTGCACAAAATAAGATTAGACTGGATAATGGTCCTGCACTGCATCTATTTCCTTTCTGTCACAGGCTTTGTTTGTTTGCTGACTCAAATACATGACAATGGCATTTTATTTTTGTCTGTGTTTGGTGATTGCGTGGGTACAGGTGGGAAGTGGTGGGATCTCAAGAGGGGATTCAGTATGCCCCATTCCCGGTTCCTCTCAATGGCCTCCCAACAAGATTTTGGCATGAATCTGTTATCTAAGCCCCATCATATCATCATCATCATCATCATCATGGGTTCATCATCTGTTTTCTTCTGATCACATCACAATTAAGGATATAAATGTACATTTTATTGCAGTGATGTTTGCTCAAGTGTTTTTTATTTTTTTGTTTGTTATTTATGTGATGAATATCAATTCTCCTGTCCCAACATTGCCTGCCTTTACAGCTAGCAACTTTCATCATCTGCACTTGAAGAAGTGGAAAATGTACAAATTGATTGAAAGAAAATAAAATGTGCACTCCTTTGTCTTGCCTTTTTCTGACCTAAAGATGAGCTGGACTTTCATTTTCCTGTGCCTTGGATTGGAACTGGTTCATAGTTGTGATCTTTAAGTAAATTTTCACATTTAGTCCCTTCAATTTTAGTTTTTCTTTTCTTTGCCACCACTTCCATAATCTGATTGTTTTTAAACGGCGACTTATAAAATTTACACTTTTGATCCTCTATATTTGGGTGATGCTCTGTTCAATGATAAATGAATATCTCTACTTCCCAACATTTCTTCTCTCTTTTAGTTGATATATAAGTAACCCTAGTCTAACATATCTTCAAAACTTTCTAATTGTTCTTTGAGTTTCATCTCAATTGCATTAAAAGTCTCATGAATGTGCTTGCAATGTCGATGCAAAACTTTTCACCTTGATTATATTCCTCAAATTGATTTTGAGATAACTTAAACCCTAAGGAATATGATATGGGTGTGCTTTATTGTTATTACTAATACTATTATTGTTGTTGTTGCTGCTAGTTTTAGTTTTCTATTAATACTGATAGTGTTATTTCTTTCTTCAATTTTAGTTTGTTTCCTGAAGTTTTATGTTTCCTGTTGTGATTAGGGCTCTCACTATAGCACAATACAAGGATCTCTAATATTGAAGAATTAATTTTTGGGTGTCTTTAAAAAGTTGGACACTGGTTATTGCTGGTTTATATTTATTTTGTTTCTCCACTCTTCCATCCTCTTCTTTTAGATATGAATTTGCACCACATGTTTTGAGTGATATTGACTTTGTACCTATTTTCAAAATCATTAATGTGTGCACCCCATCAATCCAAAAAAAATGTGGAGTAGAATGAAAAGTCAAATGATTTTATAGCAAATTGGAGTGCATATATTAACGGTTTTGAAAATAGGGTGCAAACTTAAATACTCCCTTTTAATGACGAAAAAAGAATGACTAAAATTGGAATTTTTCATTGATCTTTGCAAATGCCAGCTGTCTATGACATCCTCAGTGTGTTTCGTAATCAGAGGACTAAGAAAGAAGAGTTTGAGAATGTGATAAGACAAAGTGAGAAGGCTAATGTGCTCTCAGCTGGAGAGCACACACAATCAAAGACATTGATACTTCATTGCTTTAGGTTCTACTGGTACAAGCTTAGCCTGCAGCTAATAAATAAATGATTAAATGATGACATATAAAGAGAGAGCAATTAGTCAAGTAAGACAGACCAGAAATTCTAGGATCCCTTTCTTAATCAGGCAAGTCTGGGATTAGAAAAACATCATTTCATGCGCATAGGACCCTTCCACTTTCCCAGTAGAATATAGGATCCAAAATCCAATTTATATCAAATGTTTTATCACTATTCTCAATAATGAAGATCACTATTCCAGCAGTGACAGATTTCAGAAAATATATATTGAGAACAGATTAAGAGCTTTTTGGTAGACAGTACCGCTAAAATTGGTCGAGTCGGTTGAATCCATTAAAATTGGTGAAAATTTGATTGAAGACAATGAATTGCCCAAATATAATGAGTCATGGAAAATATTTTATCGAAAATATTTTTTATTAACAAAATCAAGATAAAGTTATACGAAAATAGCTAAAGTAATTACAACCTTACGATTATTATTTTAGAGTACAATCACAAGTTTTCCAATAGCAAAAAACTCCCAATACAGTACATCACAATTGCTTCCAACTTCATCTTTTGGAAATGACTTATTAGTTATTACGGCTTCATTGCGAAATTGTTGAAAAAATAAAAGTGCACAACTTTTCCCATTTTTCAACATGATATGAGATAAGTACTTAAACAATTCATCAAAAACATCAAAATGCATGTCATTTCAACATTAGCTATATATTAGACAAACTAAAGTAGTAATACCATGATTATAAACTATTCATTCTCAACAACAAATAGGATATATAATTCTTAAATCTGAAGTATATGGCTCGGACGCAAATAAATAGAGCTCAAATAAAAGATTCATTTATAAAAAAATATATGTTCATATATATAAGATTCAAATTTAGAACTAGAAAACCTGTTTAGACTATTAGACTTCAAAGAGCAGAGAAAAAAAGATGATGACTGCTATGGCGCCAATGGTGGCGACTTGCAAGTTGCAACCGCCTCTCAATTACTTCTGTCCACTGGCACACTTTCCTTGTGTTTGATACTTGATACAAGAAATAAAAATTGAGATAAAAAAATTGAAATGATAATTAGGAAATTTATTGGGCTGTTGGGAGGAAATTGTACTTTTATTGGGGCACAAGCATGGGCTGGGCTATTAGGATTAGCAAGGCTTTATTGCGGGCAGCTGCCCCCTCGCCCATTTCATTGCTAAATCTGCCCTCCTAAACGCTAGCCCTCTATTGAACGCCTCCAACATTTTTGTATTTTGGTCCAGCCTGACATGGCTAGGCCTCACCTAAGGGTGGATCCCGTCCTAGTTCTGGAACCAAACCATGTCCAATCGACCTTTTGTTCGGAAGTCAGGCTGCTTTTCCTATTCGTTCCAGGAAAAGGTATAAACCAATTTAGTTTCTCCAAAACAGGACTGGGCCATTTCTGCCCTGTTTTTTAAAGGGTAAAGAACCATAACCTATTTGGAAGCGACCCAAGAACAAGAATTAGGTAATCAGTACAATTACAGGTAGTTATATATTTAAACCCAAAACCAGATGGTTTAGAACCGGAACCGCTCCATCCCTACCTAAGCTTCAGGTCTCAGTTTAGCTTTTCTTGCTTTTTCAAGCACTCATAGATACCATAGCAAGTTGACTCTAAAAACTATTGCTCTAACAAATACTGTATTACAGAAGAAATTCTTGTATCACTATTGAATTCGTAATATTTTAAAAATCCTGAAACAGATTCACCATGTCTAAATACTAGTTGTTTGCACTGGGTATATTTACTCTCAATAATGATTCCAGCAAGGAAAATAATAAGTGGAATACAATTCAATATGGGTGCTAAGCACCAACAATAGATCAACACGAGTGCTTATCACCACCAATAATGACACATTACTAAGGTACATGTAATACAAATTATTATTTTATTAATTCTAGTAACGTTAGTGCAAACCGGATCAACTTGGCCAAGTGTTTTCAGTATCAGGAGATGAGTATTTAAGAATGGCTGAATGTATCCTATCTTTATCTCGTGTTGGAAAAGCTTCGAGCAGGACTCCATTTTTGTAGAAGTGAAAAAGGGGCACTGTCTGCATCATATTCGAAAGCCTCAGTTTAAAAACTGAAGATAGATGAAAAATAATATATATGGCTATAGAAGGGACACCATTTCCAATAAATTGAGAATGACATGAGCTACATCCATCTGCTAACACTCAAGTATTGAATCAGATAGTTTTACCCGGATTCGCAGCCGTTCAGCAACCTCAGATTGTTCATCATACTCATCAAGCACCTGAGTAATTGGTAAATTTTTGTTAGGATCCTTGATGCATTAAGGCTTCTTTTGGTAGCCAAATTGGTATATTCTGCGTATCATCAGGGACCTCACTACCTCAGGGTAATCCAAATGACCTACTTATGTGGCTGAAATGGATTCTCCAAATGCATTTCAGCCAAACACTTACCAAATGGACACTAAATATCTAAATTCAAAACATCCCTACACACAGTCCCTCGATCCTCCTAGGATGAGCTTTTGGCTTACTTATATGGCTAAAATGGATTTTCTAAACACATTTCAGTCACAGAACAGGCCTAAATATCGAACTTCTACAAAACCCCACATGCAGTCCCTCTTAGGAACTAAGTCATCTCTTAGACGCCTACAATTTATTCCCAAATTAATTCTGCTGTATCCCGTTTATAATTTTAACGAGAACTTGCCAAAACCCCATCTAGACACTGGGACCCTTTAAACCTATCACCTTGAAGCTTTTCGTAACTCCCACCATCGCACAAAAAAGGTCATGTTTGATCAAACATACAGCTTTTTACCTTTAGCAAGGTACACATGTTTTACGTCACAACTAACAAAGTATACTCACACTTAATTTCCTTTTGGATAGTTTAACTAAACTAATTATACTAACCTCGTTTCTTACTTATTTTGGAGAATTCTTTGCATAATTACCTTTATTTAATCAAATACTCTGTATGATATTTCTGGAACCAAAAAGCTTTTCAAACATGACAATTTTATATGACAGGAGTATTTTAGAACCCAGAATGCTGGAATGCTAGATATATAAAAGAACAACACGAGCATTTCTCCAAGCCTTAATCTTTTTTTAAGAGTCTATAGCAGGAGGGTTTTGAAACGAAAATTTGAGTGTATTTAGTCTATATCATGATACATACTTCGTATTATGTATGGAATATTATATATATGTGTGTGTTGTGTGAACGCTTAACACTTCGATCATTGTTTTTATTGTTTCTAGCAACATAATGAAATAACTAAATGCAGGTGACCAGGGGAACAATAATGAGTAATACTAGGTGGGGAATTCCTAGAAGAGATTGAAATAACTAATTAAATAAAACTCACAAAACTCACATTGTGTTTCAAGAAAATAACAGGTGACTCTTGATCACCTGATCCCTTGCATAGCTTCGAGAAACCCTTCTCTATGTACTTACAGCTGCCACAAGAGGTGCGGTAGAAGTCTACCACTACCAGAGACCTGCTTTTCTTGGCCTTCTCCATTATCCTCAAGAACTCCTCATCCTTTGTAAATTCTCTCACGCAATCAACCGGACAACACTCATCATCATCATCTTCCTCTTCAAACAGCTCATCAACATCACCATTGTTTACACTCCATTTTAACCTAGCTCCACCACTTCTTGTCTCAGCATTTGAAACTCCACTAATTAACACACCTCTAGACTTCACCTGACAAGATTCAATCATATTTGTGTGTCTAATACTGGGAATTGAGATCGATCCAGCTACAAACCCTAGTTTATCATCAATGTTAAGGTTGCTTCTAGTAAATCGGAAAGGGGACCTCCAACTAAGAATACCCTGCCTTTGCATGATCGCAAGAAGCAAGTCTTTTTGCAAAGTCGAGACCTTTACCATCCCCTGCGAAGATTATTCCAAGAATAAGTCATTGAACGTGCGTGAATAACCTTCTCAGATCACCAACTTTCCTCGGTCA